TGTGTTGCAAATGTCATAGAAAATGTATTTTAAGCTTAGCAGGATTCCTTAAGGAAAACATACTGCAGCAAAGCAAGTTTTTGAGTTTCAGATGCTTTTGAGTTACTGCTGTGGGAGTATATGCTGAAAGCTTGTTTAAACATGGAAAGATTTGGTGGTGAGCCTCCCATTCTTCAGAACTCCTAAGTCTTCAATTAATTTCAGTCATTCTACTAAAAAATTTAAGTGAAAAAAGTGAAGTTAGTGATCATGTAAAAGTGAAAACTAAATTAGAAAGTGCTTTGCAGACTTAACTGGTAGCCATCAGTGATGTAATTCTTTCCATCTTTTTATATATGTCAGTGTCTGTTACTTTAAAGTAAACTTGGCAACAAAAAGGAAACAATATAATCAAATTCATGTGCCAATTTGTGAAACACTCAGTATCTGAAAAATCATAGTTCAAGCCGTTTGTTTTATTACTTTCTAACACTAAATGCATGCTGTGTTCCTAATGAAGTCTAGCTATAAACAAATAAATAAATGTACTTGTATGCTAATAGCCTTTTTTTTAAAAGTCTGATTACATTCCTATGCACAAAAGTGCAATGTTTTATAATCTTTTATCTATGTTCTTACATCTCCAAGGCTTAATTGTTTAGTGTTATGTGTGACTAAAATAGTCATGATTAAATTGTTTAGAGTTTTGGTTTGGATCTGTTTCCAAATAAACCCATGATATTTATACAAACTGACCTGGTCTGGGAATCTCATAAACCCATCTGCCTTATAAGATTTCCAGTATCTAATTGTTTGTGCCCAAATATTTGACTGTGCAAGCATTTTCTGGGAATCTGGCTGAAAAGAGATTTGGTTAATAATTGGAAAAATAGCACTGGAATTCTTGGGAAGACAGTGTCATTTATGCTGATATATGAAAACTTAATGTTTTGCCTATCCATCCTAGAATTTTGCTTCTCTTTGCAGCAAGCGAGATTTCCTTCATTTCAGAAGCAAAAACCCTGTGGGCTGTTTCTTTAAAATGGTCATCATCTTTTGATTTCTTATGTAATATAAAAGTCTAGCTCTAAGCTGAGAAGGAAAAGGTTTCACTGCCTTGCATTGTGGAGTTTAAAAAAAACCAAAACCTATGTAAACTGAACATAGAAAGGATAGAACATCCTTTTGTATTGGGCTGATAGTCTTTTACATAGACTTTGCATATGTAGTGACCACTACAGCAGTTGGCCTATGGAGTAATATTGTACTCTTGTGGCTTCCTTTAAATGATGAGATTGGTTTTGCTGTGTCTATTTCTGCCGTTATTTCACATTTTGTGTGCATCATAGGTGGAGGCAAGTGAAGTCAGAATATTGTAAAAGAATACTTAAAGCTCTTTAATGTAGAGAGATTTTCAATAATACAAATATTACAACATATCATGGTGTTGCACAAATGCATATGGAGAGAGGCCATCTTGGCAAATGTAGGCTCTATTTCTTTCCCGTGGGTTTTGGGTTTTTTTTTTTGGCTGACTTTATTACAGCAAAACAAACAAAAACCTGTGAGTGGAACAGTATCCCTCACCTGCTCATGACACCTTCTGTTTAAATTGTTGGAGTTTATTATCCTTTCAGTTGTCCAGTAAAAAGGGAGGAGGTAAAATTTCTCTACAGTCCCCATGGTGGTTTGTTTGGGGGTATCTTCTAATGAGTGAAACACTGCCTGTTAGGGAGAGAGGGACTGAGATTAATTTTTATGGAGCTTAACAAAAGGGGTTTAATGTTTTCTAGAGTGCTAGCTGGAAAAGACGTGAACTGAACCCTGAAATCTTTAGATTAGTAGTTGTTGTAAATAGGAATACAAGTGCTATTCAATAAACGTTGTTCTGATAAAATGTACCCTTTTCATATCCCCCACCAAAACAAGTAAGGAATCAAAACTAAATGCAGTTAAATATTGCCAGGTCTTTGTACATGCTGAGAATCTAGATTAAAATAAATTCTCACCCAGTGTAACTTTCATATTAGCTATTAGGGCCCTGCAGTATGCAATCTGTTTTTCATATTCTTACCTTACAGAGATAATGGGAATTGTTTTATCTGAGAAACAGTGTGGTGTACCTTTCCCCTCTATGTAAGTGTGGCTGTACTTTGTTTCAGCCTGCTATCTGTTTTCAGCCTGCCTTCTGTCATTTTTGAGGGGAATGTATGGAGAGGTTTCTCTAAATGTTTGCAATCCAGGAGAAGCAGTTTTGCCGTTTCTGGTACGCGTAGCAGGCCAGCTGCGCAAATTTTGTGTGTGTATGTCACTGCCACAAGGGGACTGATATATGTGAGTGGTGACTGCTTTCTCGTGTCTTCAATTATATGTGTTGATTGTTTGATATTGGTTTTTTTTCTGAAAGGAAGGTTCGAAAAAGGGAGAAGTTAAAATGACAACAAAATTTAATCAGTAGAATGTTCTGTATTTGTCAGCTTGTTGTTCTGGTTTAAGAATGAATTGTTGTTCTTTAATGACAAAACTTGGCATTTCTGAATTCATACTCTATTAAGAAATTATTGCATTTCCCCAAAAGTGCATGTTGTTTACAATTTGGATATTTTTAATACTCAAACAATTGTGACTTGCAAATTGTTAAATGGAACTTCATTTTGGTTGCTTTTTATTGAAATGGTTGAGGAAATTCTGTCATCACAGTCAGTGTTTTTAGTACTCGTAGTGGCAAGTTTCCACTGAAATAATTACACCCTTGGTGAAGTTTTTGCAGGCTTAGAAGTCTTGGAGTTGAGAGCACATTTCTTCTATGCTATATGTTTCTATTTCTAATCGCACAGTTTCGGCACAACTATGAAAATCTTCTTTTCAGATTTTTTTAATAGCCTTGAATTTTAGTGAAAGATGGTTTTTGACATGCAAGTGTTCTTGGTATTTTAATTCATGTTAGGGAGAAGGAATTTGCAGGTGTGGAGACAGTATTCAAAAACAGAACATTTTCTACAGTTAGAAGCAAGTGGGAGCAGCCACTTAAAAGCCTATTCATTATGAACAAGTTTTTGAGGGTGTTTTTTCCTCCTCGTTTCTGCTGCAGCTGTTCATTTAGACTGTTAAATAACTGAAATGAATCAGCATACTGTTTTCTTTCCATCACATGCAATCACTTTATTTCTACCCCATTCGACTAAAACCCCTAGGAAAAGGTAAGGATGAAGATGACAACAGATGAAATCTCCTCTTTCAGGCAAGCTGGGAAGAAGGTGTCTGCTTCTACTTGTGATTCACATTTTGATCATAGATCTGTCTATACCTGTTTTAAATCCCTCAGCAAGAGACTGTATGGGGTCCAGCAAGATGCATTTATGTTGCAGATGGGATTTGTTTATTACTGTTATGTACTTTGCAAGATAGTGACAGAGATTTCAAGTAAGCTTTTCTTGTCTATTAATGTCTGTGTGACTATGTATGAAGAGGATATAGGAGGAGAAATCTTCCAGCTAATGAAGAGAGTTATGTGAGCCAACATAAATACTAATTTTGTAATCTGGCGGAATACCTGAATGAGCTAAATTGTAGCAACTAAAACAGGAGAACCTATATTTTTGGTGCCAACAAAACAAATTTGACAGTTATGAGATAAAATATGTAAACAAAGTGAATCTTTGTGTATGAAAATATTTTCCATGATTGGCCCTTGCCTTGTCGTAGGTTGTGTTTTAATAATGAAGTAGGAATTTCCCTGTACTCAACAGTCATCTTTCACATATACTCTACTCTGGAAGTGCTCTTCCGTAACTTTGGCAAAAGCAGCTTTATGCATTGACAGTATTATATTTGGTCCATTAAGTTATTTTAATCTGGACCTTTGATACCTTTTCAGTTGATTAAAGAACTTTTTTTTGGTTGTTTTCTTAAGGTCCCTTCCTTTCTCTCCATATATTTTTCCTATATAACACCTGGATTAAATCTTGCAACCCACATTTCTTTTGCTTCTGAATGATTCTTAGGCACGTACCTGGGGTTTTCAAGTTGTGTTTGGTTTATGGCCTTAATTTGCTTTATTGAAGTGTGGAAAAATAAAATTGGATGGAATTCATCCTTTTTCAGCTGATGTAAACGTAAGATGGATATGGACAATGCATATGCTTTATTTACATTATGTGTAACAGTTTTCAGTAATACATGGATTAAAAAATTGCCAAATCTCTCCGAAATTTGTTTTTACAAAACCAGAAAACCCCACCCCATTCTGGCAGTGGTACAGTATGTATATTGAAAATGAGACTGTAGCAGGCAGTGGAGTTCTTGTGCCGTAACTCTCACCATTTACATTGTGTTGTTTTATACTGGTCAGCATCGCAGTCATACTTTTTCAGGGTGGTGCTGCTTGATTGAATTGGGCAATTTCTGTAGAAATGTTTTTTAATTTCATAATCTGCTAGCATTCATCACGTTATTGATTTAAACTGCTGAAAGTAATGTCTTGGTTTACTTTCTTGTTTGAAGTGTGGGCAATGCATAATGGGATCACTGAATGAGGAATGTATTATATAAATGTCAACTGTTACTGGGTTTCCCTTGAGAATATTTTTGGACTAATTTTGAGGGGAACACCTTCCCCTGGACAGATAGAGGAGGTTTTGTGAAATTGGTTGAGGCTTCCTGACTAATAGACTCATGATTCAATTGACTAGTTCTGGCATATGTCAGAATCACAGGAACTGCTTGCAAAATGAGCTTGCAGTTTGTGGTCAGAACCACACACAGTTGGTTGTGAATAAGGAGACTGTTCTCTTGCTCTTTATATAATACTCCTAATGTCGGCATCTGCATATATGTATCTAGGAGATGACTGGGCTAGTACTACATTTGCAGGGAAGATATGCTGGCTTTTCTGATATTTGATAACCATAAGGGGCCAGAAAGAACAAGAACAATGGTGGGTAGAAGTTATTTTAGTAATTCCTAACAAAAATTATTGTAGTGAGTTTCTTTGTGAAGAATTTTTTTTTTCTGTCGAGCAGGTTCTATACAGTTCGCTACAGAGAAAAGGATAAAGACAAGAAATGGGTTTTCCAGCTTTGCCCAGTTACAGAGACGGTGGTGGACAATCTGAAGCCAAACACAGTTTATGAATTTGGAGTTAAAGACAATGTAGAGGATAGTATTTGGAGCAAGACTTTCAATCATAAGACAGTCCTGTCTAGTAAGTATTTGGCAGTAAATAATCAAATAGCTACTCAGTTTGACAGTATTTTTTCCTTTATTGTGATATTATTTAAAGTACACTACCAGTCAGGTTTTCATTATTTGAATGCTATCCCTTATGCCCCTAAGAAATTATTTTAGGAATTGGTGAAACTAAGAATAGTTTGTGTTTGGAAAACTGGCACCTACTCTTCTGAAAGGTGTTCTCTTCTCATTGCAGATAGTACAGGATCTGCTGCAGGTTGGTAGAACTCTAACAGTGGTTAGTTTAGGTACACATGAAGTGTTGAGTATGTATGTTTATACGTCTGACTGGATTCCAAGCTTTTTCCTTGTGCCTTGAATAAGAAGATCATTACTAATTTGAGTTGATGGAAAGTATTATCCTTGTTTGAATCTTTTATATCTGCTTTTATGTTCAAGTTGGTTAAAAGCTAGACAGGGCCTGTCCTATCCAGCATGCATCACAATAGGCCCTTTATGACTCTGCTGGAGAGTTGAATTGGAAGCTAATTTTCAGTCAAGGAATTATCTAAATTGTGTTTGAAGCATAGACTCTCATACATGCTTTTGTTTGGGTTCTCATGGAGGCAGTGTGTGGCATCTCTGGCTGTTCTTTCAGTCATATTTTAAGCTTTTTCTCCAAAGTCCCAAGACAATGCTGGCAAAGTGACATCAAATTAACCCTTGAAAAAACATGTACTGCTCAAAGAATCACTCCTATCAATAGAGGAAATAGGCAGCAGCAGAGTCTTGCTCCTTTTAAAGAGGGGAAAAGAGGACTAAACAGACATTGTTCAATTTCATTTATTTTCCTCAAGCATTTACATGAAGGTATTTCTGAGCATGATGTTGATCAGAAGCTGCTGCAGACTCTTATGCTCAGTATTTCTAGCTTGACTCGAAATGTGAAGAATGGCAATTCTCATAAGAGAGCTTTATTCATATGAGATTTCCAGCTGAAATTTGATTTGAACCTCAGTTTCAAGTTGTAGGTGAGTTACACAGCTCGATATACTGGAGGATAAGGGAGGGGAGCAGTAGGGTGGCTTGTAACACTGTAAAAGCCCTCATACTCCCTAACAAAGAACTTTGCTGGCCTTCATTATAAATTAGAAAGCTGTAACTTTGAAGTACCTGCCCAGTGCCCGTAGATCATTTTAGCAGTCCAGAATAATGCCATCGTTATACGATTATCTTAAAGTGGAGAATGGTGGTAGTCTTTTCCCATACCTGCCTCACAAAAAGAAACTCTGCTTCACAGCTCTAAAGAAGGCTTACTAAATGGCTGTTTTTCCTACATTTTAAACATTCTAAAGTCATCTGTAAAGCAAGTGCTGGAATACATTTGAGCACTTAAAATAGGAGCGAATGAAGAGTGCATAGTGTTTATAGTTTAAAGCTGCATTCAAGACTGATTGAAATGTCCACTGACATCACCAAATTTGCTCTTTGTATATAATGTATTATAAATGCTGTTTCTTACAGACACTATGCATTTTTAATAAGCCAGAAGAATCATTCATGTAAGTTACAGAGGCAGATTGAGTTGGATTGAAAGAGACTTTCTTGTAAGATTTCATGTTCTATTTAGATGAGATTTCTTTTTCATAGAATGTAGACTTGGGTATTCAGTGGGTGCTTCTGCAACAACTAAATCCAGGGAGCTTCCTGTTAACACTGTATGTCTACATTCTGGTCTACTGATAAAGTATCTTGTAATTGGAAAGTTGACAGCACCTTTCAGATTCAAGCCTTTCGTATTGTCAGTGCATAGTAGGTAGATACAGAAGCTGTGGGCAGTAAACAGAGAGTGAACATTTATTATAAATTTGTAACCATCTGTCTGCATAGGAGTTTAACAATCAACACAAATGGCCACTTTTTTCTGTTCTAACTTACTGTCTTGTAGCAACTCAAGGTCTTTTCATATATTAAAAAGCATCTCAACCTAAACCAAACATCCTTCACTGTAAATTTTCTTTCCTCACTGAAGAATATATAAATTACTGTAAACTGAAATTCCTGTTGCATGTTCTTGTATTTGTTGAATCCACAGGCCAAATTTTTGTTACACACTAAACATGTTGGGAGGGGTTGGGAGGAGAATCTGGTTTTAATTCATGATTTGAGAAAGACATAAAAGGCATGGCAAATGTTCAACATTTGTTTAATCAAAATGTATCAAAAGACATGAAAGTAGATTACTTCTGACCATCTTAACATGATTTCCTCATGAAGTCAGTGTGAAACTTTTGTCAATTTTCCCTTGTCTTTAGGCCAATAGGTCCTATTCCTGAGAAGTACCAAGCGCTTTGAAAGATTTTTTTTTTTTTTTTTTTTCCCCAGGATAGCAGGTCAACTTAAATGTCTTTCAATTGATATTTATTTATAGTTGAATTTTTTGCTCCTGCTTTTCTGTTTTGGATGGAATTGTGAAGAAATACGATAACATTTAGCTGGATTCTTGTTTACACGCCTGTTGATGCAAAGGGAGCAGAAAAGTGTAACGGTGGAAGATGTAGACAAAGTTTAAAGCATCATGCTAGAATATAAGAGGTGCTGAGAGGGCCTGTTTCTCCTCTGTACTTAGCAGCTGCATCACAAGAAGCTTGTAACACTAAGAAGCTAAAAGAAAAAACCCAAGAGAAAAATTTCAGATATTAAATCTGTGGGTTACTTTGTTCATATGTTGAGATAAAGGAAGCCATGTCAGACCCAAAGAGAGGTGATATGCCTGCTCTGTACTGCCAGTGCTGAATGTGTATTTCTTTTAGAAGAGTGCACTGAAAAGCAAGACTTTTTAGAGAGCTTAAAACATGCTGCTTTTAGCCAGTCCTAGTACCAGCCTGACAGATGGGATGCAGAAATTCCTCTTTCAAGTTTCTTCCTTGCTTATTAGTGTTGTGGTTATATTAATTTTATTAAAGAATCCGCTTAGGCACCTATGACTTCTCCTTAGTAAGTCCCAAAGACCACTTCAGCTCTCTTACCCCCTGTTGTAGAACAACAAGAATACATTTTGTTTCTTCTCTATCAAAGTGTGAAGAGGAGGCTTTGCAGATGAATTAATTAATCTGGAGAAACAGGACCAAACAAAACTGTTACATGGTGTGGTTTTATACCTTGTAATTAAGTCTCCTAACTTTATAAGCTATTGAAAAAGGTGCATAAACTTGGTTTGCTTTGCTTTGGGCAAAACAAAAAGTAATTCTGTGTATTTATTTCTCTTTCTGTCAAATCAGATAAAAAAGTAAATGGACAACTCCAGAATATGTACAAGTTGGTACCTAATTCCCAAACCCAGGTATGCAAAACAGTCTTATTTTTTATACCAGATTTGTATTTTGTATGGTTGTATGCCAGCCTATACCAGCTACTAGGAAGAAAATTAACTCTATTCCAGCCAAAACCAGGACAATGGTCAAATTTTTGCTTCTCTGTTAAAGTGAGAAAGAGATTATGGTCACAAATTGCCAATATAAAAAAATCTGTTAAATCTAAGACTAGATAACTGTATGGGGAAGTGTTTATATGTGTGGATTGATAAAATGATTGAGAACTGTAGCTGAGATGATTACATCTACTGATTCCAGTTTAATAAAGATGAAGCTGATGGTTTCCACGTGTGGATTCTAAACATTAAAATCTGCTTATCCCTTTGTAGTAGTCAGGTTTGTTAACCTGTGATATTTGTGGTGGTCAGTTCATTTTGTGGTAAGGTGGTGCTGTTATTTTTATAGAGTAATCTTGTGTATACTCAGGTCTTCTAAAATTATTAGTCATCCCATTGAATTCACTGATCTCATATGTGAGGCATGTGTTTGCAGAACCAGAGGAAGCTGGAAAGGGCAATTTAATTTGCTTATCGAGATTGCTAGGCAGTTCATTAAATCGTTGCAGGTGGCAAGGTAGAATTTTTAACTGTTTCATCAAAGCATTAGAAGATTTTTTTAAAATAAATACATATCAATATTTATTCATTTAATTTTTTTTTTCTCATCTGGCATTTGCCATAACAGCTATCAAGCAAGCATGGGTGGTTTTCATATGTTTGTGGATTCATATACACAGCTACTTTTTGCTTCCAACAGCTGAAGCAGAAATGAAGGATCTGTAGATTGAACCTGTTAGTAGAGTAGTTTTAATACAGTGAAAAATGGACATTTTATTCATAACTTTTGAGCATTACCTCTTCTTCTATGAGATTAAATTGGTTTCTTCGTATTTTCTTTCCTAAATTTTTAAGCAAAGTGCAAGTTTCAGCAGCTAATCTTCTGGGGGTTTTTTGTTCTGCTTTGTTTTCAAGGTACTATCCATGAGGTAGACTATGGGATAACTTCCCAAGAAAAGTTGTAGAAATCCTTGTTACTTCAGACATTTTAAAGGGTTGACTCATGAGTGATGATTATAAAGGAACAATCAGTTTTTCACAATTCTCTTCTGTCTCTGATTTTCCAAGTGTTTTCATGGTAGGAAATGGGCATGTATGGTTTCTCATTGTTCATTCTTCATATTATACAGTATTGTAAACAATCTGTAATTATCAGACCTGGAATTCCTTCAGGAATCAAACCATAGTCCATTACATATATTTTCTTGTGGGAATAATTAGGTATTCATTTAGGATAGCAATACCTAAATTATAGCATTGCATACAGAGTTAGAGCAGTGTAATGCTTAGGTTATTGGAAACATAGTCATGTCTCACATTCAAGAGAAAATGTTTTATCTGTGAGTGATATGAAGCCAGTTGATAGATACTCAGGAAGGTGCTCATCTCATGTTGTTGTTGACGAAATCAACTTTACTGTTCTTCCCATTGGTCCCATAAGCATCTTTAAAGTTAGACGTGACAGTGCAAGACCAGGTAATTCATTCTGGCATCTGGAGTGCAAGCTGAGTTCCTTTCTTCCTCTTAGCAAACCCTGTGTGCCAGGACCCTGACTCTGTTATGCTGCTTCTGTGAAAGTTGGGATTCTATTTATGCAAGAGAAGTCCTGAGAAAGTGAGCTAAAACAGTTTTCCAAATATTTGCACAGCTTAAGCATGAAAGGAGGACCAAAGCCAACATCTAGTCTTTTTAGTCAGCTTCACAGGGCTTAGCTCCAGAGCGGTGCTGCTTTATCACCCTCCACAGAAATATCATGAAAACATTCCATAGATTATTGTAAAAATTCTCTTATCATTCTCACTTCAGTGGTGCAAAAAGCCATAAAACTAAGGCTGGGAAGCAGATAGTGGCCAGCTCTTAAGTTTACATTATTACTTCAGTTTCCACAGTATTAGTTGGGGGTATGTTTCAGTGGTGCAATCACATCATCAGTGCAAAGCCAGAATGAGTGTTATTTAGGCCAAGCTTTGTTTGTGCCTTATTTTGCTCCAAAGACACAACTGGCTCATATCAGCATGGTTCTAACTCTTCTCTGTCAGGAGACGTTTTTAAAGGCTGTTTATTAAAGCAACATTACCGATCCATCTAGTCATCCTGCCCTTTCAACATCGGTCACATATCAACTTGTGTTTCTTTTGGCAGGTTCATCCTTTAAGTTTGACTAAGCTCCTGGGGCTGTCTGAGCTACAACTAATGAGAGGGAAAGAAAAGGAGAGCTCTAGGGATGGTCATTCTTTTTCCCTTCATAAACAATGTGTGGTGGTAGGGTGGAGATGATGCAGTAGAAATTTATTTCCTCTTCTGTCCGATTAGGTTCCTGCAATTTCATAATGTCAGTCTGAAAGGTGGGGTCCTCCTCGTTTTTTTGTTTTTTTTTGTTTTTTTTTTTTTTTTTTCTAGCCAAAACCCAGGACTCTTAGCTTCTATCATTTGTTAAACTCTGGAAGAAAACATGCCTGCTCTTCCAAAACTTATCCAATCCAGGTTGACCGTAATGCTCCCTTGAGGAGGCTCTTACATGTATGCCAGTTATTTGTGGCTTTTTGGAGTACTGGAATATAAGAGAGGCAGAAAGAACAAGTGTCTCAAAGTAATGTTGCCATATGCCATTTGACAGAATGTCTGAGACCTGCAGTCCTTTATGCAATGTACCATAGGTATGTTAAGATGCCTGACTTATGGTATAACTTCCATCTCTAATTTTCCTCTGAAGTTAGGAAATACCTTATTTGCCGTCTTCCTTCATTCATGGAGATGCCACAGTCATTTTAATAACTAATGTTCCTAATACTGCTATGCTTTATATTCTCTGTCTAGAAAACACAGTTAATAGTGCTATTCCTACAGATGATATGCTGATGTTTCTGAAATAGTTTGCCCAAGTAGTAAATGTTACTAGACATAAAAATATCTAAAGTAGTCACTTTTTGGAGACGGAGAGGATTGACAACACGGTGGTAGATTTCAAGTGCAGCCCTCGCAGATCTGTGCAGGTGACAGTGTAATTACAGCAGCTGCGGAACATGGATTTCACGTCAATGATTTGTTCTTGAGTGAGAAACTAAATTTTGAATGTATTTTAATGTATTTAGCATTTTCATATTACTGCCATTACAGTCATCTATTATTATTCAACAAAGAAAGGATGCTCTTCTCAATATAAGAACCTTTTACTAGTAAAAGGACTGATAATCCTTATGATTAGAAGTTCCGCACTGGAGTTACACAAGTGCTCACTACAACTTGAGAGCTGTTTATTTGATTGTAGGGCTCCTGATGAGAAATCTAATAAAACGAACATCATCTTCTGATAAATGCATTTCATCCCACTTGTTAGTCACATGAATAGCAGGGTTACTTCAAAAGCTGATCATCTGCAATACAATTTTTTCACTAGAAGACAAAATAGATATGTAAACCTTGTTAATAATAAAAGAAAAATAGTAAGCAATAAAAAAAGATTAATTTGTATCCTTCATTAATTACAATGATTGAAACCTCTACTTAATTTCAAACCATGTTCATGCCGATGCAAAATTGTTATTAGGAAGCAGAAAGTAATGGCTTTCATAGAATAAGCAGCCTCCATCCATTTCCCTGAGGAAAGGGACATCTTACTTGTTGCGATATGCCTTATTCCAGCTTCCTAGACTTTGGTATGTGTTTGATGTGTACCCAACCGTTGCTTTTAAAACTTTTTTTTAATATTTGGAATAGAGCAAAAATAGTTATCCTTAGGTAAATAATTAAAGCCTCGTCACCAAATGCTGAATTTCCATGCAAGTGTTCTTTCACATGAAGTAGACCAGTTGTCATGAAGTGCAAAATGAACATTAACTGCGTCTTACTTTAGTGGTGTACGTTTAACACAGAGAGGTAATTGTTTGAGTTATTTTCTTTCTTGTAACTCAGATATAACTGAAAAAAAATAAATCTACTTTTAATGTGTTTGTAATGCCAGCAATATAAAAATGCTAGTCTACCTCTTCTTATCACCTGAGTGTACTATTAAGCTTTCAGAAGTTGTTCCTAGTTACCCGTGTTTGGCAGTGAATACTGATTTATAATCTTTGGGATCAGCTGTTTTCTTCCTTTTAATAAACATGGGGTCCATTCATGTGTTCCTTATTTTCATGGTATCAAAATGCTGGAAAAGATTCACACCTAGGCAAAAAGCAATCTGGGTCAAAGACAAGCTAACAGCAGAAAAGTCTGAGTATTTAGCATAAGAAAGTGAGAAGAACATGGGTGGCTGGCTAGTTATACTTTGGAAACAATTTCACCAAATAAAATGACTCTTGAGTTAATCTGCTTTAAGCAGACTATGCACCCAAGAGTGCTGGTAGTTTACAAATGTACACCTGGTTCTGGAATAGTTTGTGTTCTAAAAATACTATTCCTGAGAATATAAATATATCCCGTGACCAAATTTGTAATTGCATATGTTTCAGATGTTTTGTTGTAGTTAAATTTCAGCTTTTCTTAGCTTTCTGGAGTACTCCCCGGAGAGTGCTCAAGAGATTCTTAAAAGAAAAAAGGGTTGAGGATTCCTAAGCTGCCAAATACTGTGTTTTTATGAAACAAAACATCTCAATCTGAAGAAAGGAGATCAAAATGCAATATTACTATACTGGCCCATGGGAACCTAAGCAATAGCGTAACCTTCAGTGACTAGGGCCAGAGCCATATCCAGTGTTAACTTGGGGCAGGCGCGGTATTGGATTAGAGCCCTCTATTTTTGTTACTAAGAAAGTTCAATTACTATTATGGCAGTTATCCCAAGGCTTTCTTTTTTTCCCTTCTTCTCTCAGCTTACACTGCGTGATAATAAGAAGTTGGTCCCTGTCACAATAATCAAACAAGGTAAATATGTATATTTTTTAATTGATTCTTATGCTCTGCAAGAGTAACGTAAAATTAAAATGAAAAAAAAAAATTCTGACTGATGTGAATGTCATGAAAGTTTCCCTTTAGAATAGGGGGAACCTTACGAACTACCATATGCTTTAATTACAAATACTATTAAGGTGTTACCTATCTGTGTTAATAAAATGAGCTATTATGTTGCATTATAAACAATGGCTTAGTTGAGTCATTGAATGGATACCAATCAGTTCTGATTGTTGCTAGTATCCATTCTTTTTCTTTTTTAACTGGATTGTCCAGGTCTGTTGATCTCCAGCTGTGCATAACTTGATGGTCAGGCATGAAGGGTGGCAGTATGGATAAGATTCATGCTACCAAACTTTTTTGTGGGTATCTTCAGCTAAGTCGTTGACTTAGACTCCCTTCTTCTCCTTCCTCTGGTCAGTGGAGAGAGATATCTACAGTAGACTTAAACATATTGCCCTTTAGAAATTCCCGTTTCTCTCTAGTAGAGAGGGGTAGTATAGTAGTGTAATATTTGAAAATTAACTACTTAAAGATAGCTGAAAGAAAATGAGCTGCAGATTAAAACTTGCTAACAGAAATTGTATTGTGAATAATTTTAAATAACAAAAGCAAGCAAATTGTCTTTGGAGGTAGTTCACAGTTGAGGGACAGGAAAACACTGGAGGGTGGTGTGAAAGCAAATTACGGTAATTACCATTAAAATATGGCTGTACTGGCATTTGCTTCACATGCATCTTTTTTTAAGACTTGTGAATGGCAGGGTAAAGAGATGTCCTGGAGCTGGCCCTATATTAACATAAGCATAGAATGTCATTCTTCAACAAGGATATAAAACTGGTATGTTAGGGGAAAGAAGAGATGCACAGTTAAGAGGTGATGTAGAGGAAACACACTTTGCAGTCTCTTAAACTGAATGCAAATACAGAAAAGATTAGGATGGTGTCCTCATCTCCAAGTATTAAGTTGAGGGAAGGTTATCAGAATGCTGAGGCTTGTCTCAGGTGTGGTTTTGTTTCTTGCTTTGGGTTTTTTTTAAATGATTTTCTAATAACCCTGTGTTGTCTCCACAGTTATTCAAAATCGGACGCAGTCAAAAACTTCAGATAGTTCTTCTCTGCCAGGAGCAATCTTAGGTGACTAGAAGATACTTTTATTATTTTTCCTCATCTTTGGCTGAAAATCAGAACTGTCTAAATACTTCTAATTTGCTTGATCTTGATAGTTCTTTCCTTGCATATCAAAGGGTATTTTGCAGCTGTTTCAGACAGTATTCGTTATATTTTATGGTGGTACAGATGGTTCAAGGATGATGTAGCCTAAGGGAAACAGGATCATTTTATTGTCATAGTATTTAAAAGAAGATACTGTCACTGTTTAAGCCAAGAAGTTCTTTCATACTTCAAGTTCTGTGGCAAAGATCTTACTGAGATCAGGGGTTGTTCTTTTTGGTTTTTTAAGGTAGTACGATAACATACCATTTACAGACACAAACCTGTACTGATATATTAGGCTCTAGTGATGTATATTATAACCTTCCTTGCAATTAGAGCTTGATGTTAGATCTTGGGGCATAACTGTTTCCCTCAAGCCATTCACTTTCATGCTTTCTGTTCTTGTTTGACCTATAAGAATACACAATATTGGCTTAGAACGTGGGGAAAAGTCTATCATATAGTGCTTAGTGTGGTGAACTACTGGTCTGCCTGAAATAGATAGGAAAGGCTCACTGCATCATGCACCTTGTGACCAATTTATTCCTGGATTCAGGAAGGTGTTTAGTCCTTTGTGTATATGGAAATTATATACCTATGTAACTTTGGCTTAAGTTTGCTTTGTGTGAGTTTTAATGTATTGATGTGAATCAGATACTTACTAACCACGTTTGGTGCCGAGTCTTCTTGGCCCACCAGACAGAATGTCCCAGCATCTGTGATACTGCAGTACTCCAGGGTTGTATGCTCCAGTAATGAATCGTTTTCCATTCTGATTAATTGTGAAATTGTGGTAGTAGTGAGTGGTGTAAAGGGGAAATAGCACCAAATGGGACTGGTAATTACTGAATAGAACTAACTCGTTTCTCAGATACTCAGACTAAACTCCCAAGGGTTCAGTAGTAGTTGCTCACATATCTCAGAGGACAGACTGTATTTTTCATCTCTTCTGGAATTAATGGCACACGTCTTTCTGTGTAGTGCACCTCATTGTTCCAGGTCTCAATGAAACTCAGCAGAAACTTCCTCCTCTCCTGACAGTAGATGACATACCTCAAGCATCCAGGAAAAAACTGGGTAAGCAGAAATGAACTAAGCTTGTATCGTTCGTGAGCAGTATCAGAGTATCAGAAGGATAATGATGTGAGATCATGTATGCAAGCAGAAAAGTCCTTTTTTTTTTTTTTTTTTTTTTTTTTTTTTTTTTTTTTCTCTTTTTTTTCTTTTTTTTTTTTTTTTTTTTTTTTTTTTAT